CGCTTCGACTTAGCAACAACTCCGTGGTCAGTGGAAGCCATCGTCGATGTAGTCATCTCTGCGATAGCTAGAAAACCATACATACGCATGAATAAGCTAATGACGTCGTAATCACCGACGCAAATGGCTTCTCCCTTGGTGGTAACCACTACAATTTCATGCTCAACCTCGATACCATCGTCATAGCGTAAAACACCTGGCAGTAGGATTTTAGCGCCATAGCAGATGGCATTGACCTGTGGCATTGATAACATATAGGCAGGAATAAGAATAAGGAGAAACTCACAGAAGAATCTTTGACAATTATTCGCTTATGTTCAACAAATAGTGCTTCCAATGGACGGACAATGCGTCTCATATAAGTTTCGTCCTAGAAAACATCATTATGAATTCACTATGTAGAAGACTTATGAATGAGGACAAAACCATCTACTCAAAAATAGTTAATCCCAAGTCTGAACTAACTTCCCATATATTTCACCATACCTTATGATGATCAAGTACATACTGCGCATCGAGAATATCGTGCATAGTGACGAGTTGATCATGCTCGTCAGTGATACCTGACCTAAAATGTTTTCATCAAAAAATAATGGCTTGAATTCTGTAAAAATTACCTAGTTCTTCTCAGTTCCTGCATCTGTCCTCCAACTCCAATAAGTAGTCCTAAGTGAACACAGATTGTTCTGACATAAGTTCCAGACTCACACTTCACCCTAGAATATGCCGAGTAGTTTGACCTTAACTGCTGCAGAATCATCCCAATTTACAAACACACCCCAAACATGCAAATAACAATTTAAAATGGCGCATCAATTGTGATAGTATATACTGAGACAAAACATCGGGCGGAAGTGAGATGATGGGTAGTAGTATCCATCAACTTCGCTGAAAAAAGCCCAAATGAACACAAAAAAGTACCAAAAATCCAAAGCACAAAAGCACCGCAAAAAGCCAATAGATTTTGCCGCCTGAGGTCGTCTCAGCACCGGCACAGGTCGAGAGTGTTCTGGCTCTTTCTGGAGTTTCGAAGCTTCTTCTTTTTTGAGCACTTTTTGGCTTTTCTCTTCGAAGTATGACGGATGACATAAATGATGACATAAATGATGTCACAAGCAGAGCTACATTCTACTTCGTCCAATTTGCATTTTTAGAAACTGTTTCTTATTTCAATACTATCAATGTCGAAAAAACGTGCAATTGCAAGGGGCGTCGAAAAAAAAACGAATGAAACAAAAGAATCACTCGAGACAAAAAACCAACCAGAAAATTCCCATTTGCTCCTCTTTGTCGAACTCAAGAAGCTTGT